ATTCTACAGGTAGAGATGAGCAGAGCATTCTAGGCAGGGGGCACAGGTAATACAAAAGCTCAGAAGCAGGAGATGAGAGGTCACAAGAGTGTGAACTGGGGTGCTGCCCATGGAAGTGGAAAGAAAGAGACAAATGGAGGTGAAGTAGGGATAGAAATGACGAGACATTGGAGATGTGCAGTGAGGGAGAATGTGGAGTTAAGGAATAATATGTCCAAGACGCAAGCCTGCGATTGGAAGGCCAGCGGTCAGTAACAGGGGTCTGGGGAGAAAGTTCTGTTTTGGACACGTTGACTCAGGGATGCCTCTGGGACATCTAGTTTGAGCTGTCCAAAAGGCAGTCAGCAGCATGGGGACCAGAGCTCAGCCTAGAGGTGGGCGTTGGATAAAGAGATCTGAGAGTCAGCCATCTAGAGATGCTACTTGGAGCTCTGGGAGTCCATGAGGACACCGAGTGAGGTAGAATAGCGGGAGAAGAAGGTCTGGGACAGAGCTTTGAGGAAAAGCCACTATTAGTGGGCTGGAGTGGATGGAGAGCTGATAAGTGAGGAGGGGTCAGACATGAAGAGGAAGACCAGGAGAGAGCTGTATGGAAAAAAGAAAACCAGAGAAGAGAGTATCTGTCTATCTGACAGTGTCCAAAGGCTGCAGAAGTGAAGGAGGAGAAGGCTTGAGAACAGGCCATCAGATTTGTCCATGGGAGGATGATCGGTAGCTCTGTAGGGAATGATGAGGCCACGAGCTAGATTCCCGAGGTTTCAGCAGAGACTGGGAGGTGAGGAAATGGAGGCTGCCATTGTAAATGGCTTTCTTCAGGAGTTTGGCTGGGTAGCAGGGATGGTTGCATGAAGGGCAGCTTTTGTAAGGATAGGGGAGATGTGGGCAGGTTTGTAGGTGACAGTTAAAGACTGAAGAGATAAAGAGAAGCATGAAGATTAGAAGGGCAGACTGAGTCACAATAATCTGCCTAAGAAATTAGAAGGGGATGGCATCAAGGGTGACCATCTTCTCAAAAAGAAGGGTCAGCCACCTCTTCGTAAGAGATAGAGATGAAGGAAGAGATGGCAGAGGATAGTGTCCAAGGGATGGGGCAGCCAGTGGGTAGAATGCTGGGCCTGTAGACAGAAAGACCTGAGGTCAAATCTAGCCTCAGAAACTTAGTAGCTGTGTGACCCTAGGCAAGTCACTTAACCTGTTTGCTTCAGTTTCCTCATCTGTAAGATGGGAATAATAATAATACCACCTACTTCCCAGGGTTATTGGGAGGATCAGATAAGAAAACTGTGAAGTGCTTAGCACAGTGCCTGGCACATGGTAAGCACTATATAAATGTTAGCTATTATAATTTTTATGTGAGATGTTACATTGCCGTTCATCCTTCATTCTTGAAGAGGACCAATGACATCGGGAGGGTGATGTCTTAGACTCTCATATGAATTGGATTGAAGTGAGGCAGGGCGGGGCCAAGTCATCAGCCCCACTCTCTCCTCCAGACTCTTTGAAGTCCAGTGGCGAGACAAAAGTCAAGAGGATTGGAGACGGCCCAGGATACAGGTGACCTTGGCCTTTCTAAATTAAGACCTTTCCCAGATCTCAGGTTTGTCTGAGGCCATGTCCATTCAATGACTAAGGAAGAGGAGAGAAGTATGAACTCTTAAGGAGTGGCTTCAATTGAGTGGGGAGGAAGAAGGGGCAAAGACCTCCGGCTACAGGGGAGGCAGAAGGTGCCCAATGGGACACTTTAGGGGAGACAGAAGGCTTGGAATAGCTGCTGTGGTGAGTGGGGCAGAAAATGGAGGAGGGGAGAGGAGAATGATTGCCTTGCTTCAGTGAGGGCCCCCTTGAAATTAGATAGCATAATTTTATAGTGCACCCAATTAGCAGGATTGTATTAGGTCAGAGTTTCTCTGGCCTTTTTTGTATCAGAACCCAAATTATTGAGGACTCCACCCCCAAGAACTTTGTTTATATGGGTTATATTCATGGATATTTACCATACTGGAAGTTAAAACACCTTAGTGTTATTATAAAAAGTTTTTACTTTAAGGCCCCCCTGAAAGGGCCTAGAGGTCTCCTAAGGGTCCTCGGGACCATACTTTGAGAGCCACTGTACTTAGATCAACTAGCTTAAACGTCTCATACTGTGTGTTAAGCCCTGCATTAAGCATTTACCAGACGAGAGTTAAAAACAGGCAGTCCTTGCCCTCAAGGAGTTGTTTTCCTTCCTTCTAGAAGACAACCAAAATGACATCACCATGCAGAGTCAAGATACAATGTGTCTGACTGTGGCCAGTCAGACCAGTACGAGCTCAGAATGTTCTACCACAGGTCGGGCACAAATAGTCTGTGTGAACCTTTGGGGTGGATTCTCTAAGTCTGCACATCTTGCATTTCTCTTGAGCTACTTCAATTCTGCTTTGCTCATAGAGCACAGCACCTTCTCTGATGAAGGCATGCCATGCTGGTCTGTCCTATGCCAGTGTCTCCCATGTCACACAATCAATTCCAAAGTTCTTAAGAGAGACCTTGAGAGTGCCCTTGTATCGCTTCTCCTGACCACCATGTGAACACTTGCCTTGTGTGAGTTCTCCATAAAATAGTCATTTTGGTAAGCATATGATTGGTATTCACATGGCCAGCCCATTGGAGTTACACTCTCTGCAGTAGAGTTTGAATGCTTGGCAGTTTAGTTTGAGAAAGGACCTCAATGTCTGGTATCTTATCCTTCCAGATGATCTTCGGAATCTTCCTAAGACGATTCAAATGGAAGCGATTCAGTTTCCTGGCATGGTGCTGATACACTGTCCAGGTTTCATAGGCATATAGCACTGGGGTCAGCGCAATGGCTCTGTAGGCCTTCAGTTTGGTAGTCATTCTAATACTTTTCTCCCACACTTTCCTTTGGAGTCTCCCAAACACTGAGCTAGCTCTGGCAATATATATGTCAACCTCATTATCCATGTGTACATCCCTGGAAGGTGCACTGTGAAGTGAGCTTATCCACAGCATTCAAAACTTCTCCATTTGCTGTAAGCGATGGTTCCACATTATGGACAGGGTGGTGGTGGCTGATGGAGCACCTATGTTTTCTTGGTGTTAATTGTTAGGCCAAAATTAGCACAAGCAGCAGAGAATTGATCCATACCTTGTTGCATCTCAGCTTCAGAGGCTGCACTGAGTGCACAATGAGCAAAAAACCATGTACCAACTCTCCCTCCACTTTAGTCTTGGCTTGTAGCCTTTCCAAGTTGAAGAATTTACCACCAGTGTGGTAGCTGACCTGATGCCGTGTTCATCTTCATTGAAGGCATTTGACAACATGGCTGAAAACATTATACTCAAAAGCATGGAAGCAAGCACAGTCTTGTTTCACTCCATTGGTGACTGGGAAAGCACGAGAGCATCGTCCGTCATCCAGAAGCCAGGCAAACATAGTGTCATGAAATTGATGTACAATACTGATGAACTTCTCTGAGCAACCCATTTTTGACATAATTTTCTGTAAGCCCTTGTGACTGACAGTATCCAAGGCCTTGGTCAGCTCTACAAATGTATATGCTCAAATGAAGGAAGGCAACATATAAAAGAGAGCTGAAAAGCTTCCGGGTAGGGGCTATGTAACTGAGGCATGGTGGTGAAATAAAGAATGGAGAGTGGCTGATCAGGGTCCCTTTTCAAAATGGAGCTGCTTGGAGGAACTTGCCAATGGGAGAAGGGGGCCATAGGGGAGAGGTAGAAAGCAGCTGGGGCTTGGTGGTAACATCCACCATTTTACCAAGGAAGAAACCAGAGATGGAAAACGACTTGAAAGTACCAGAACGGATATAGAGAGTGCCGGAATGAAGAATCCTTTCTCCCATGCTAATGAGTTGTGTTTCCACGGATAAGTCATTTCACTTCATAGCCTCAATTTTCTCATATTTAGAATGGAGTTAATAATTCCTGCACAGCCTACCAGCTTGTTGTGGGGCTTTAAAACAAATGCAAATTGGAGCTAGCCTTCTGGCTGTTGCTGGAATTCCCAGACAGAATTATAATGGTGGAGTGGGCATAAGAACACGTTTCCCCCAATGTTTGTTGTTATTTGGTCATGTATGACTCTTCTTGACCCCATTGGGGATTTTCTTGGCAAAGATACTGGAGCAGTTTGCTATTTCCTTCTCCAGCTCATTTTACAGATGAGGAAACTGAGGCAAACAGGATTAAGTGCCTTGCCTAGAGTCACACAGCTAGTGGGTGTCTGAGGGTCGATTTGAACTCAGGAAGATGAGTCTTCCTGACTCTAGGCTTGGTGTTCCATCCACCAAGCCATCCCGCTGCCCTCCTACCAAAGAGAGTTATGCAAAAGAGTGGGCTTGAAGAGGGAGTTCCCCTTTAGTTACCATGGTGATGATCCCCTGTCTGTAATGTTGTGGGTGGGATTCCTGACGCCTCCTTTAGTCCTGTCCAGCTCAGAGACTCTTTGTCAGCTACTGTAGACAGCTTGAGTCCCTCAGGGTCAAGGTCATGAGATCCCAGGATTTAGAGAGAGAACCTTAGAGACCATCCAGCTTGATGTCCTCATGTTGCAGAAAAGGAAACTGAGGTCCAGTGAATTCTAGGGGCTGTGTTCAAAGCCATATTAGTAGCAAGCAGCAGCCCTCAGATTTGAATTTAGGATTCAAACCAGATCTCCTGACTCCCCCAGATTTCTATGCGCTTGACCCTAGACCATGACAGTCTCTAGTCCTGGTGGGGGCTTTGAATGATGGTAACCAGGTGGAATGAATCCAAGAAGGCTTCTTGGATGGTGGAGGTGGTGGAAGTTGCAGCCAGGGTTTGAAAGGTGGGAGCAGAACCATGGATTAGAAAACAGTTCTAGCATCCAGGTGGCCATGTCCCAGGCCCAAAGCTTCTTTTCCCCTCCTGGGCTGTTCAAACATTAAGATGATCATTAACCAGGGCTGGTCAGTGACCCTGGGAGTGATCTGGGACAGAAGGGTAGGAGGGGTCCTGCCCCAGAGCTGAGTCCATATGGGACCATGCCCAGGCCCACAGGTAATCCAACATTCATACTTGAAGGTAACAGGGGAGGTGCCCCAGGAGAGGGTGTGGACCTGTCCTATTTCCCCTGGGGGAGCAGCAAAGACTTGACCCAAAAGCTGGGCCTGGGGGCAAAGGAGGGTGTTACAGGAGAGGGGAGCCTCAGGCTGGGCTGTGAGACCAAGAGAGGTGAAGGGTTTGGGAGCAGGGGAGCTGCTTATGAGTGCTGGCCTCTGTGTGTGTGTGTGCTAGAGAGAGAGAGACAGACAGACAGAGGGGGAGAAAGTGTTGCTAACTTATGAAGTTAAGTGGTACAGTGCCTGGCCTGCGGCCATTAAGCCTGAGGTCACGTCCTGCCTTGGACACTCATTTCTGTTTGCCTCAATTTTCTCAACTACCTCCCCGGATTGTTCTGAGGATCAAAGGAGATAATAATTGTAAAGCTCTTAGCACAGTGCCTGGCACACAGTCAGCGCTACAGAGATATTAGCTGCTATTATCATTATCATTGTCATTACCACCACGCCTCCCTATGTTCGCTTGTTTCTAGGTGTCCGTGTGTTGGCATGTCTGGATATTAATATGTTTGAGGGTGTGTCTGAAGGAGTCTTCAGGTCTTGGTGGTTATAATAAGGTGAAGAACTGAGGTAGCCAGACCAGGCAAATTCCTGGTCTGAGGTCGTGTCAACAGAGACACCGAGAACATGAATCACAACCTCAGGGCTGGGGGAGGCATGACACTCATAGGTCTGAGGCGGCTGGGTGGCGCAGTGGACAGAGCGCCAGACCTGACCTCAGGAAGGCTCTTCTTTGTGAGTTCAAATCCACCCTTAGACACACACTAGCTGTGTGACCTTGAGCTAGTCATTTAACCCTGTTTGCCTCAGTTTCCTCATCTGTAAAATGAGCTGGAGAAGCAAATGGTAAACCACTCCAGTGTCTCTGCCAAGAAAACCCCAAATAGGGTTGTGAAGAGTTGGACACAACTGAAAAACAACTGAACAATAACATAAATCTGAAGCATCATATTTGGGATAAAGCAGACCTCCCCTAATTGGGGGTGGGGGAGAATGTCAAAGGCACTAGCTTGGAGGAGGAATGGAGATGAAGCGGCAGCCACTAGCTCTCCTCTGATCAATCCCAGCAGGCTTTTGGGAAGAGGTGAGGGGATTCCCCAAGAGCTGCTTAGAACATTCAGAAAGGCTTCTCTTGGAGACGCCTGGGGAGGAGGGTTGGTCCAGCTCTATCAGCCTAGCGTGAGGTAGACCTGTGTGTGTTGTCCTATGGCCAGAAACTTTAGCCTGGTCTCCACCAGACCCCACTGTCTCCCCTTTACTGCCCCTCTACCATGTGGGTGCCTGCCAGTAGCATATTTCACCCTTGTTTGTGAGGAGAGAGTTAAGCTAACGGGCCCTGGGCTCGCTCTGGCCGGGGGCCTCACCCCCCCAAGTCCCCCGCCCCCTGGCCTCCCTCCAGCCTGGGCTCCAGTTACAGCGCCTGGGGAGGAGAAGGGAGGAGAAGGGAGGGGAGGAAGAGGAGGAGGAGGGGGGCGGTGCATCCAGGCCCAGGGGGTCCTCAGCAGAGCCTTCGGGACCCCTGAGCACAGACAGCCTAGGATCGAGTACTGGTCTGTTTGGGGTGAGCTTTCCCCCAAGCCCTTGAGGTTCCCCAGCCATGATTTGCCCTTTCCCCTGGCTCTCCCTCTGGTTTGGGGGGAGGGGGTTCCTATTTTGGGAGCAGAGAGAAGAGAATGTCCTGGGCCAGTATGGGAGTGTGTGAAGGAGCACAAGTGAAGTGGGATGATGGGGGTGGGGCGAGAGGTTACTGTGGGTCTGCTTTACCTCGCCTGGCTTTGGGGCTCCTGCTTCTCACCAATAGAGGGGCTGGAGGGAAAGAGAGAGGATTCTGCTGTTATCGCCTCTGCCCCCCTGACTGGTCTGAGGGCTGGGGAGTAACAGCGGTATGTGCGTGTTTGTGTGTGCTCCAGGAGCCAGGGGTTTGGGCTGTATCTCAGCTATGGAGGAGAGGGGAGAGCTTAGAGGCACCCCCCACACACATACACACCCCACCCTGGAACGTTGGGCAAGGACGTGGCCAAGGGTTACCATTCTACCCAGGGCTTACCTTGGGGCAGGGCTGTTGGGTCAAGCTATGTGCTAGAGTGATTGTGTATGTTTGTGTGTGTGTGTGTGTGTGTGTGTGTGTGTGTGCGCGCGTGCACCCCTCTCCATAACTGGACACAGCTATGCTTCTCTACCCCAAAAGCTGCTCAGTCTGGCTCTTCCAGATGTAGTTGGGGACACAGTTCTGTCGGTCTGTTTGTCCGACTGTTCTAGAAATTTCCCGAGCGTTTGTTTTTGTCGACAACGACACCCCTTGGCAAAGTACAGCTGTGCATCAGAGTGGGGGGTGGGGTGGGGGGAGGATTGTGTGCTGGAGCTGTCTAGGCTCCCCCTGTCAGTCACTGCATCCCCCTTCCTAAGCGTGGCTGGGTGGCCCTCTGCGAGTGAGAGGGAAGGACAGGGTGCGGTTGTCATGGCTACATAGGGAGGCAAATTCCTCTGGGGTGATGCTGGAGATATTTATACCCCTGGGTCCCATGCCCAAGGGTCAGGCGAGGGTTAGGCAGGATGCCAGGGGTGTTACGGTGACAGAGAATGGATTATGGAGTGTGTGACTTTGTGTGTGTGTGTGTGTGTGTGTGTCCCTGGGTCTCTTCACCCCATGGGCATTTGTGTGTCTTTTCTGGATGACACTGCACCTCCTGTATCCTATATAGCTGTGTCTGGTACTTTCCTGTTGTATAACACACACACACACACACACACACACACACACACACACACACATACACACACACACACACTCTGAGGCTGGACCTCCCAGATGTTGGGCTTTGAATCCCCTCCTCCTTCTCCATCTTGGGGAGCTACAGGTTCCCGTGTGGGTCCAAGGCTGTGTCCCCCTCAACTGTGCCTCCCTGATGTCTGCCCTGTGTTATGTTTCCGTGGCTCTCTGTTCTGGCTCTGAATCTCACCCCTAGGAGGGCTCCCTTCGTATCTCGGGGCGACCAGTCAGTCCAGATGGCTCTGGCTGGATTAGGTCCTAGGCCCTTCTTAGACTTAACCCTTTGGGATCTGGCTCAGAACTGGCAGTGGGTGGGGCAGTGTGGTAGAAAAGTGTGGAGAAGGAGAGGGGCCCAGTGGGGGAACCTAACTGGGTCCACCATATCCCCACAGGACAATGGAGCCCCCTACCCAACTCCTGCTTCTCTGCATAGCCCTGATCTCAACAGCAAAGGCGGGTGAGTCTAGTGAGTAGAGAGGAGAAAGGATGGCCTTGGTGGGGAGGGGAAGGCAGCAGTACAGCTTCTAGCCATACTCCCAACCTCAACTGCCACGGTGCTAGGCAAGACATTAGCCACTGACCAGTGTGTATATAAGTGTATATATCCAGGGCTGTATATATGCATGAGCAGCCTCAGGCCTTAAGCTTTCAAACACCTGAGTTATCTATGCACCCAGACTCCCCAGAGAAGCCAGCCTCCCCCATGGTGAGAACCCCTTTTAACATCAGGTCACACCAAGCATAACAGGGCCAGGGAGCGAATCTGGGGCAAAAGATAGCCACGTGGGCATCTCAGGCAGAAGCAGGGCGCACCATCATGAGTAACAACGGCTCATTTCTAGAACACAACAGTCTGGTGAGGCCACCAGGGCAGGGATTATCAGCCTCATTTTATTAATGGGGAGACTGAGGCCCAGAGAGGAAAGAGATCTTGCTTGGCTTTCCATAGGGAGTGAGTGATTTGTCAGACCTTGGATTAGGACTCAGGCCTCTTGACTCCCACCAATTTTTTTTTTCCCTCCACTGAGACAGGAAGGGAAAAAGGGTTAGGCCCCTTCTTCCAAATGATAAGTGAAGAGTTTGGTGCCCAGAAATGTCCAGTTTCCTGTCTAGGGAGACATAGCCAGTTATAGGCTGGAGCTCACATCCCTGGAAAAGGTAACCCCAAATCCTTGTATCTTTGCAGAAGCTCCGAAGGAAGGAGACCCATTTACATATGGTATGAGTGTGTGTCTGTTTTGGGGTCTGTCCCCAACCCCTGTCTTGGTGCTCCCTCTCTGTCTCTCTCTCCATCTCTGTCTCTCTCTGTCTCTGTCTCTGTCTCTCCCCCCCGCCTCTTCCTTCTTCTCTCTGTCTGTCTCTGTCTCTGTCTCTCTCTTCCTCTCTTTCTCTCTCTCTTTCTCCTCCTCCTCCTTCTTCTCTGTCTGTCTCTGTCTCTATCTCTGTCTCTGTCTCTGTCTGTCTCTCTCTCCTCCTCCTCCTCCTCCTTCTCTCTGTCTGTCTCTGTCTCTCTCTATCTCTGTCTCTCTCTCTATCTCTGTCTCTCTCTCTTCCTCTCTCTCTCTCTCTCTCTCTCTCTCTCACTATCTCTGTCTCTCTGTGTCTCTGTGTCTCTCTGTCTCTCTCTCTCTCCTTCTCCTCCTCCTTCTTCTCTCTGTCTGTCCCTGTCTTTCTCTTCCTCTCTCTCTCCTCCTCCTCCTTCTTCTCTCTGTCTGTCTGTCTCTCTCTTCCTCTCTCTTCCTCTCTCTCTCTCTCCTCCTCCTCCTCCTTCTCTCTGTCTCTGTCTCTCTCTCTCTGTCTGTCTCTCTCTTCCTCTCTCTCTCTGTCTCTCTCTCTCTTCCTCTCTCTCTTGCTATCTCTGTCTCTGTCTCTGTCTCTGTCTGTCTCTCTCCTGACTCCTCACTCCTCATTCTTTCCCCTTTCTCAGACTACCAGTCCCTGAGGATTGGAGGGCTAGTTTTCGCTGGCATCCTCTTCATCCTTGGCATCCTCATCATCCTCAGTAAGTCTTCCTCAATCACCATGGGACATGCTAGGCAGCATTGCGGGGGGGGGGTCCAGAGCGGGGGAGGTGTATGGAGGAATGATCCCACATGCATCTGTTAGGGCATTCACCCTGTGTAGACACTTGTCGGGGTATCTGTTGTCTCCCAGACAGAATGTTAGCTCCTTGAAGGCAGGCACTGCATCACTTTTTTGTCTTTGTATCCTCATTGCCTGGCACATGATAGGCACTTAATACAAACTGACTGATTGCTTGCTTGATCCCCATCAGGCCGCAGATGTCGCTGCAAATTCAACCAACAGCAAAGGTGAGTGAAGTGCTCTGTGCCCTCCGTTTACCACACCATTCCCTCGGCTGTCCCTTTGTCTCCGTGAAGTCTTCCATCTTCATCACTCTCTCCATCTACCTTTGACCCTTTCCATCTATATGTCTAACTTCATGTCTGACCTTTCATCTTCTCCTTCCCACCTCTTGATTGTTTCTCCTTGTTGCCTCTCTATTTCTTTGTATCTTTGTCTCCATCTGTCTCTCCCTAGTTTTCATCTGCACTCCATTCTCTACCTTTATTTCTAATTTTCTCCATTTTTAAATCTCTAGCTCTCCACCTTGGGTTGTCTCTGTCTTTCTCCGCCTCTATTTCTGACACCAATTTCATTTCTAACACTCGGTCTCTGATTCTTTTTTTAAATAATTATGAACTCAACGTGCATGACATTTTAGTGCAAAGAAAGGAAAAAAGACTGTATGTGAAACTATGAACCATAGTGTAGGTTTTTTTCACTTTGTCGTCCCATCTCTCTCCATCTCTGCTTCTGACTCCATCTTCATCTCACCTTTTCTCTGTATTTAATTAGATTTTCATCTCTATCTCCCTCCTTTTGATCTTCTCTCTCTGTCCATTACTGTCTCCCTCCACTTATCTAACTTTGATCCTCTGTCTCCATTTCTATCTTGCTCCATCTCAAATTATGTCTATTTTCATCTTTATCTCTGACTGTATGTTTTAATTTTTCTCCATCCTAGACACACACACACTCTCTCTCCCTCTCTCTCTCTGTCTCTCTGTCTTCTCTCTTCCCTCTCTGCTCTCTCTGTCTCTTTCTTCTCTCTCCCTTTTCTGTTCTCTCTCTCTTCTCTCTCCCCTTTCCGTTCTCTCTGTGCCCCTCTTTTCCTCCATTGCTTCCCTAACATGGTTCTTTTTGCCTTTCTCCCACTTCCCAGAACTGGGGAACCCGATGAAGAAGAGGGTACTTTCCGCAGCTCCATCCGTCGTGAGTTTGCTTTTGGAAGCCCTTCCCTGGGGAGCCCCACTTAGAGAAGGGGGTGTGGTCATTCGGGGGAGATCACTGGCTGCCTCAGAATGGTGCAGAGGAAACCCCTTCCCCGGGAAGATGCTTAGCTGGGGGAGGAGGGTGGCCAGAGATGAGACCCGGGGAGGGAAATTTCCCAGATGGCCTTCCAGATGACACCCTCCCCCATCTCTGCCTTCCCTCCCCAGGCCTGTCCAGCAGAAGGCGGTAGGAGCCTGAGATGAAGTCAGAGAGACTGACCAGGTAATAAGTCGTTATCAAGGGAGGGGAGGGGCAAGAAGTGGGGATATCAGGATCCTGCAGCCCAGGGGCTGGGGGTCAAGACCCCCTTTGCTCTGCCTACAGGTCGCTCTCCGGATCTAACCCTCTCCTCCCATCCACTCTCCATAGGTTTCCCAGGGTTCCTGCCCGCGCTCCCACTCCCACGGTGCCCCCAGCACCTCCAAACCTGTAATAAAGGCCAGTCTTCCACGCGCAGTCAGTGTCTCTGTCCCACAGTCCGGTCTGGTCGCCTGAGTCCCCGAGAGACTGAAGCTCCCTCTCTCCCCCCACTAGGAGGCGCCCCCGCCCACGGACTCCGCAGACACCCGAGGCGGGGACTTGGGCTTGCATGTGGGAGGGGGAGGGGTCGCCGAGGGGAGGCGGGGGCGGGGAGCCCGGGAAACCCGCCCCCGCCCCCCCCACGGAGCCCCCATTGGCTGCAGTGTCCGCCTCCGCCCTTTCCACCGCCCCCAACCCGGAGGTCTCTCTCACGTCCCCCCCTTCCAAGTCTGCCCCCCTCCCCCAGTCAGATCTGGGCTCCCTCTGCAGCTGCCGCTTCTGCCTTCCGCGCCCCCGGCCCAGCCATGGTGACCCCCGGGCCCGTCACACAGGGTGAGAGGGAGCGAGGCCCTGTCAAGCCCGCAGTCACAGGGGACCCCAGCCAGGAGAATGGAGGAAATGGGGACCCTGTCAAGGGGAATAAGGGAAGTGGACTCCTGATCTAGTGGGTATGGGGGAGCAGGGAAGAGGACAGGGACCCCATTATAAGACAGACCATTCTAGTGGGTCTGGGGAGGGATGGAGGGAGGGCACCTGGGGAGGTCTGGAGGAGTAGGAGAATGAGAGACCCCATTGTGGGGCTGGAGCGGAAGGGGACCCAGTTTGGCGCGAGGATAGAGGGTTGGAGGGATTCTGGTCTGAGGGGATGGAGAGAGCGAGGACCCTGGTCTAATGGGGCTGGAGGGGAGAGAGCCTGGTCTCCAGAGGAAAGACTACGGGCGAAGGATTCTTATCAGAGGCTGAGAGGGGAGCATGGCGGGGGAGGTGGGTGAAGGGGGAGAGCCTCTGGCAAATGGGGAGATCTTCCCTGGGGAGGAAGGGAGGAAAAGGAGGATGCCACTGACCCTGAATATCGTAGACTGGATAAATGTTTGCTGAATGAGTGAGTGACTGATCTGAGCCGTAGCCATGGCAACTAGATGGTCCAGCCCCTGGGGGAGTGAAGTGGGAAGGTGTTTTCTGTAAGGAGGGCCTGTGATGCTGTAGAGGATGCCTAAGTGTGCGCTGGAGTGTGATTGTTTATGGGGGTGGGGGTGAAGGAGACATCCAGGGCTGTGCAGGTGCACGACCCTGGGAATGGCATCTGTCTCCGTCACTGGCTCCGTTTATATCAGGGTCTCACCAGGGTTTCTGACCCCTGGGCGGGGGCCGATGTGTGTGTGTCGGGGGAGTAGATAAGATGAGATCTTACTGTTGATCATTTCCACCGGCTAAAGGGCCTTGGTTGGACAAATACACCCCTAAGGGTCTTTGAAGAGAGAGCCGATGCTTCAGAGAGGCGGAAAGACAGAGGCAGATATAGACCCTGAGCCTAAGAAAAAGACAGAGACTGGGGCGGGGGGGCGGAGAGAAAGAGAGTGCACGCACCGGGGACTGCGTGCCTGCAGGGGCTGTAAGCCGCAGTGACCCCACCCATGGAGGGGAGGGGAGGGACCGGAGCTGAGAGGACCCTCCCCTCTGCTGAGCCTTGGGGGTGGGGATAGGAGAGCCTTCCTCCGGGGTGTGTCCGTCGCCTCAGACTCACTCGGGTCACTTGGGGTCGCAGTGTTTGAATACAAACCCTCCCGCAACATTTCATATATACAGTGTCAGCTACGCCCTCCCTCAAGCCCCGCAACCCGCGGCTTTCCCGGACCCACGGAGCCCCAAGTTTGCGGCAGCCTCCCAAACCTGGGACGCTCAGATGCTCATGACTGTGGGGTGGGGTGGGGTGGGAAGAGCTCGGGGAGAAAGCTCTCGCACCTCGACTCAGGAGAAGAGAGGGGCGATGAAGAAGGTTATAGCTCCGTGGGAGGTGGAGTTGCTGGGCCCGGGGTGGGGGTGGGGGGGAAGGGGCTGCAGGGGAACAGTCTCTGGGTGCGGAGGGCCTTGAGGAGAAGAGGGGTTGGAGAGAGGAGTTTCTGGGAGGGGGGTAGGCTCTATAGGGGAGAAGGGTCTGGGCAAGGAGGAGCTAGGGAGAAAAGACTCTGGTGTGCGTGTGCTGAGGGTGGGGGTGGGGGGGAGATGCATCTTCTCCAGACATCTGTCTGGCAGGAACCCAGAGACAGCAGTTTCCCGGAGATGCTGGTTTGTTCTGATCGATGACCAAATGGGCCTACAAAGACCTCACACCAAAGGAGCCCAAACCTCATCCCAATCCACCATCATCTGAGGGGAATCTCAGGTCTCAGGAAATCCACGGGGAGGGAGGAAGCCACGTGTTCTGTCCTACAGTCACTGAGAAAGCTCATCTTCAGAGAAGAAAGAGGTGACATGGGGAAGAGCAAAAGGAAAGGCATTGCCCTCGCCATCCTCACCCACGTGGAGAATCTGGGGGCTCCCGAGTGAGATGTCCAAATCCCCTTCCCCATACTCCTCCCTCCTAGACCATCCACTTACCCAGGGCTGGGAATAAAAAAAGGCTAGAGGCTCTGTGGGTTGGGGCAAGACAAAGCAAGGATTCCTGAGCTCGGAGCATGAATGACGAATGGAGGTATCCGACTACCTTGCTCCCCCCCAGACCCTCCCCCTATCCCAAGCCTCCCTTCCCTCATCGCACTCCCTCCCTTTCAGAATGCCCCAGTTGCTGCAGCAACCCCCTCCTTCACTAGCTTCTCCTTGGCAACGGGCCTGTGGTGATGCATCCTTCTCCTTGCTCCACCCCCTAGCGAAGCTCCATCCTGAGGGGCCTCATCCTCCCACCTTCCCTGAGCTTTGGGGAATAATGCAGCTGGGATGGGGAGGAAATCTTAGAGAGGAGAAGCCCTCGGTACCAAAAATTGATCCTCAAGATTACATTCTACACTCAGGAAATTGGGAAAATGAGCTCCTAGAATGGTGTGGAGCCTAGGCTCTTAGAATATGAGAATCCAACACTCACAGAACCCTAGAATCTGAAGCTGAATGGGACTTCAGAAAAGTGGCTGGGTCCCCTTCCCAACTCACGGGGAAGCCTCTCTCCAGACTCCCTGATCATCAGTGCTAAGCATCTTGAGGAGATCTGAGTCATACTCCTCTCCTGTCTGAGGTGGTAGAAGCTCAGGGAACCCTCAGACTGAGGGGAGAGGCTGGAGATAAATACACATAAGACACAAGGCAGGAGTCACAGGGAAGGAACTGGGGTGGGATGGGGAAAGTCTGGGGAGAAAGCTCCCACAGGGTGGGAGGAAGCAAGTATAGTGGCAAGAGTAGTGGAGATTGGAGTCAAGAAAACCTGGCTTGGAATCCTGCCTTACTAGCTATGTGTCCCTGGGAGGGGGAAAAAAGTCTCAGTTTTCCCCATCAGTGAAATGGGGATAACTTTGCAAACCTTAAAGCATTATATGACTGTGAGTTATCCTCCTCACTGGACAAAGGATAAAATTGGAAGCCAGAAAGACTTCCTAGAGAAAGAGATTTTGAACTGGGTCTAGGAAGATGAAAGAGAGGAAATTAGGTATAAGTGTAAGGTGAAACAGACTTACTGCAAAGATACCAACCAATCCACCATGCCTGAAAGAATACCTGAGGCAAGTAGTCAGTCCACAAGTATTTATTAAACACCTACTATGTGGTAGGAGCTTTGATGAATACCAGAACACAAAGACAAAAATGAATCAATCCTAGCCCTCAAGGAACTTGCATTCTGTTAGGGAAGATAACATCATAGACAGACTGACAGACAGACAAATACAAAGATAAATAGATAGATGACATAGAGAGATATAGATAGATACATAGACGGATAGAAGGATGATAGATGTAGGTAGGTAGATAGATGGAGAGAAAGATGTAGATAGACAGACGATCAGACGGATGGATGGATGAATAGAGACAGGAGATAGAAGAGAGATTGAGAGATGTTGAATAGAAGATATTGGATAGATAAATAGAAGATAGAAATACACAGAAGACAAAGACAGAGCTATATACATATACAACGTACCTGATAATAGATGCATATATGAGCTATATAAATTATATTCGAAATAAATGCAAGTTAATTTTAGTGGGAAGTTGCTAGCCACTAGGGGGATGGAACTGAGCTGAATCTTGAAATAAATCAGAGATTCCAAGATGTGGCATAGAGGAAGGAATGCTTTCCCGGGCTGGGGGACTGTCAATGCAAAGACACAGAGATGGGAAATGAAGCATTGTGTGCGAGAGACAGCAAATAGGCTAGTATGGCTGAACCACAGAGTGAGTGGAGAGGAGTAATGAGGTAGCCGAGTCATGGACTTGGAGTCAGGAAGACCTAAGCTAAAAGCCTGTCTAGACCGTTACCAGCTGCATAACTCTGGGCAAGTCACTTACCCTTTCAATTCTAAATGCAGAATCTGTAAAATGGAGATCATCATAGCACCTCTCTCCCAGGGTTGTGAGGATCCAATAAGACAGTATATGTAGAATACTATAGAAATGCTAGCTGGAAGGGTCCTTAGAGAACATAGAGTCCAGCCTTATTTTACAGGTGAGGAAACTGATGTCTAGATCGGTTAAGTGAATTGCCTCGGTTCCTATAGTCAGGGATAGGGAACCTATCAAGGCCACAAATGGCCCTCTAGGTCCTCAAGTGCGGCCCTTTGACCAAATCTAAACTTCACATTTGTTCTGTGATCCTGGTAAGTAGAACCAGGGTCCATCCTGTAGTGTCAGGTATGAGGAGGAAGAGACAGAGAGGCCCTCCCTGGTAGTCATAGGCCCCTCTCTCTCTCTCTCTCTCTCTCTCTCTCTCTCTCTCTCTCTCTCTCTCTCTCTCTCTCTCTCTTTCTCTCTCTCCTCTTTTTTTTCCCTCTCTCCCTTCAGCCACTTCTCAGGAACCTGACCGTTTCTACTATGGTGAGTTGGGGACTTGAGGGAGTCACAGGTAATGAGGCCCAGCCCTCTCAGTCAGCCTGCAAGGCATGGCTGATAACTCAACTATCTTTCCTGCCTGCCCCTGGTCTACATCCTGTTGGCTTGGATTTGCCTGGGAGGTTTCCCGCCCCCTAAAGTTATTCTGGGCTCAGACTACTGTTAAAACAAATATAGTGGGGTTTTTTCGAGGCCACATCAGCTAATTTGGAGAGGGCAGCCTAAAGCAGAGAATATCTAGGAGTTGGGAGTGGGGTACCTACTAGGAGAAAGACGGAACAGTTTGGGAATTAGGGTTTATTCATCTCCTTTCTGTGTTAAATTCAAATTCTCAGTTCAGGTCCTACCCCGCCCCCTACTCCCATGAGGTCCCATTTGACAGATGAGGAAACTGAGGCCCACAGAAGTTGGGATAAAAGCAGGGTGGAGGCTTGGGGAAGGGGGCTGGTGAAGACTCTACATACAGGTGGGTCACTGAACGTGCTATTTCCCTTTGCAGACTATGACTCTGTTCGTATTGTGGGACTTACTCTGGCTACTATCATGTTTGTTCTGGGCATCCTCATTATACTCAGTAAGTGCCTTGTCATTACCTGCACAGAACCTACCCTTGAGACCCCCAGAACAAGCCCTCCTTCAGCTCCCAGTCCAGAGCCCCTCCCATAGAGCTTTGGCTCCCTTATACAAGCCCTCTTTCCTCAGACCACAGCATCCCCACTCCTGGGGTTATGGGGCAACCATGCTGAGTTTGGGTGGATCCCTTCCTGACTATTTTCCCTGGCTCCCAACTCTAATCTCAGATTTTCTTCTTTCCATCTTCCCATTTCTCATTCTACAGGCAAGAAAGTGAAGTGTAGGAAGTCAGACTCCAGGTCAGAAGGGTCTTTGGGGGGTTAGGGATGAGGGTGGGCTTCTTCTATTTCCCCCCAGTCCCTCTATCTGGCTTGCACTCTCCCTCTACGCCCCTCTGTGTCTACTTCTGTTTTTCTCTTTCTGTCCATCCATCTGCCTCTGTCTGTGTTCCTCTCTGTCTCCTATGTCTTTCTGCCCCTGTTGCCTTCCTTATCTGCCTCTGCCTATATGCCACTGTGTCAGGTCTCCCTCTGTCTCTGTCTCTCGGTCTCCTTACGGTTTCTTCTCATTCCTTTCTTCCTGCAGTCCGACCATTAAAAACTGTAAGTTTCAATTCTCATCATTAGGGAGTGTGTGTGTGTGTGTGTGTGTGTGTGTGTGTGTGTGTGTGTGTGTGTGTGTTGAGGTGGGGGGTGGGAATAGTCTGTACCTGGATGGATACTACAGCAGAAAACTAGCTGCATTTGGGAAGGACTTTCAGATTAAGTCTCGGTCTCTTGGAGGGAAGTGGGCTGTTCTGAATAGGGAGCTGTCCTCAGAGTAAGGAAGACCTAGCCTTAAATTCTATATCTGATACATAGTAACTGTGTGATGCTGGGCAAATTACTTAATCTCTTGGATTAAGTGGAAACTTTCTAAGACTGTCAGAGGGGACCTGCGCTGAGGTCCTCACCTGAGAGTTCCCTCTACTTATGAAATCAGTCCCTCTCCCTATCATTTTAGCGGGAGGGGAAGAAAAGCAGTGGCAGATTGGATTAACCAACCACCAAGTGTATACTGCACAGGATTAGAAACATGAGGGTGTGGTGTTAGTGTGTATGGGGAAGGGGGAAACTGGGGTGGGAGGTTGTACCTCTCTCTATCCCCCTGTCTCTTTCCCCACAGCCCCAGGGGGAGCCGTGTAACATGAGGAGGAGTCTCCAGCTCTGCTGCTGCCCCCATCTCAAAGACCCTAGGGGTTAGGGATGGAGATCGCTGGGGCCCCCTGCTCCCAGCCCCCCCTCACACCAGTGAATGTTCCCCTTCTATATGAGCTGCCTGTGCCCCAAACTGGACTCCTCACCCCACAGGGAGTGCCCAGGGCCCAAAGCATTGAGCCCCCTTGGGGGACAGGGCTGGCCCCCCTCCCTGAGGCTTCTGCAATAAAATCCACTCCTATTCCTCCTCGTGGACCTAGGCATACAGTCCCCTGGTCCCCTTCTAGGACCCAGACATACACTCCTTGCCTTGCCTCCTTCCTAGAATCCAGGTATCCACTCCCTCAACTCCTCCCCTAGATCCCAGGTATCCAGACCACCCCCTCAACCCCTGCTGCCCTCCTGACTCAGGCGTCTGAGCCCTGACCCCCTGTTTGTTACCTTCTGAGCTCAATAAATGTGGATTCAGGGTTTTTTCCCTCTGGTCTCTCTGTGTCCTTCCTGGTTCTTGTTTGGCGGGGAGAGGAAAGAATAAAATAAGTCACCCCCCCTTAAGATAAAGGGAAGGGAAAGTGAGAGAATACCAAAGACCCTGTATCTCCTCCTTCCCCCTTCCTCCCAACCTGACTGTTCTGCTTATTTTCCCTGTTAGAGAACATGTAGGGACTTCCAAGATGTCCACCCCTGTCCCGCTTCCCCTCAGGGCATCTCTTATACCTCACCCCCACATTCTCCCATACTGGGGTGTCCCTCACTCTACCCCTGCGTAGTCTCTCTCTGGCTCCCGCCCCTGGCTTTGAAGCCAGGAAGCCAAAGAGGAAATGACTCTCCCAGTCTTGGCCCCCGCCCGCCCCGTTCTCACACCCCCCTCCCACCTCGGCTCCCCACCCCGCCCTGCCTGTCCCCACCAGGCCAAGGCCACTAGCTCCGGACCCCCCAGCTCCAAGGTAAAGCCCTCTTCTGCGGCTGTGGGCTCTCTTTCCCCTGGTCTCTAGGGCAGGGGGGGGGGGTTGAGATTTTCTGCCCATCATCTCCTGGACCTGGGCCCTTTCTCCTCTCTGCCCATGTGTGTCTGTCCCTGTCTGTGTCTGTGGCTCTCCTCCGAACCCTCTTTTCCCCTCTGCTTCTCCTAGCTGCCTCTGCCTGCTCCGAATTCCTCTGTCTCTCATTTACCCCCTCCAGGCTCTCTTGCTGGTCTCCGAGTTATCTCTGCCACCTCTGTTCTTCCCCATCCTCTCCCCTTTCTCTCTTTCCTATTAGATTTCTTTTCTGTTTCACGTATCTTCCACCTAGTTTGGCTATCCCTTGCCTCTTCTCTTTCTCTCTGTTCTTCTTTCCCTTTCCCCATGGCCCCGGCTCTGACTGCTCCCCCCTTCTCTGCCCCCCACCCCACCCCCCACTCCAGCCAGCTCATTTTTTCCTGCGAGAGCAGGAGCCCCAGTTACTCATGATGCCTCTCTGCCCTCCCTCCGGTTGGGCTTCTCAGCTGGGGCGGGGGGGACAGACCCAAGAGGGAAAGGGAAGGAAGCCGGCCCATGCATCCTAGCTCCTTTCAGTTTGACCCTGGCCCCCTGACTGGGGAAGGGACGAAGAACTTTGTGCCTGACTTGAAAACGAAGTGGAGAAAGCGGGGTATGGAGACGAGGGCCGGTTCTGCTCTCAGCAAGCTCTTGCATCAGTGACTGCCAAACCCTCCCTAAGCTGGTTGCTTCCTGTTTCCTCTAGGGGAGCAGGGGGCGGGGTGGCTGAGATGGGGATGAGTATAGGAGGGGGAGAAGTAGAGGAATTAATTTCCCCCCACATCTCCCCACTTCCTCCCCCGGGGTCTCTGGTGGGAGTGAGACTGCTCTGTGATGCTCCTCAGAGACAAACCTGAGTCCAAATGCCAGATCCACAGCTCTCCCCAGATTCCACCCCTCCCAATTTCCAGCAGCCCCTACAGGAAGCTGGACACCCCCTCCCCACATATCAATGCCATCACTGCCCCCCCACAGATGTCAGCTTCAGGCCACCTCTACTTCCTCTTCCTCCTCCTGGGCTTGGCCCCATCTTCATGGACCCAAGGTGAGTCACACTACAGTTTCCCCTTCTCCTCGATTCTCATCAGATTTCAGTAGTGTTCCATTATTTTCTATCACTCCCATTGGGGCCGGACGCTCCCTGAGGGTGGGAACTGGGTCACTTCTTTTAAACCTCCATCTCCCCAGCCATCCATGCTTGTCCATCCCACCCAGCTCTTGTCAACGTGCTCCATTGAACACAACCCCAGAGTCCATGGAACGTGTGGTTTCCCTTGAAGCACATGAGCCTGGCAATCAGCTATTACTCAGTGTTTCCACTGCACTAACCCACCTTCCTCCCCACACATGCATTTCTTGGAGGATGTCCTTTCCACAGCTTCTTCTTCCTAATTCTATATTTGTATCACAGCCTGCTCATGCCCAGCTGTGCACCTCTCTACAGCCCTTTGGGACATCCTCCATTTCAATTCTCTACCAAGCCTGGACGGGCTGCAATCTGCATTGTTGGAGGAAATACCCACATTGATAGGATCACAGAACCATTGGAGTACCCCAGGACAATGCCTTTTATACCGGATCCTAGATTGGGACCGCCAGGGCCATTTATCCCCATCCCCTTTTTACAAATGAGGAAACTGAGTCCCAGAAAGGAAGTGACATAAGGTTATAGATTAGAGAAAGAAGGGACCTTAGAGTACATCTAGTCCTTACCTTTCATGTTACAGAAGGGAAAACTAAGGAAGTTAATGTGATTTGCTTGAGACCATGGGTAGGGATTCAAATCCAGGTTCTCTGACTTCAGACCAGGAAGGAAAGAAGCATTTATAAAGTGCCTTCTATGTGCCAGGCACTGCACGTGGGGCAGAATGAAAGGATTGGATTTGGATCAGAAGGTGTGAGGTCCAGTCCTTGTTCTGCTCCTTCCTGCCTTTGTGAGACCTTGGTCAAGAAATGTCGCCTCTCTGGGCCTCAGTTTCCTCTTCTGTAAGATAGGCTAGATGGCCTCAGAAGCCCTTTCCAAGTCTAGATTTATGGTAAAAGGGCCGCTGAGTTTGAATGTAGCTAAAGAAAAAATTTTGGGGGGTTGGGACAATACTTTTCTATCCCCAAAGCTACCAGTGAGAAGGATTTGATTATATGGCTCTGCCCCGAGTAGGAGGTGGGTGGGCCAGGAAAGCTGGTGGGGGTGGAAGGAATCCTGGCTGAACTCCTCTTCCCTCCCCCATTCACTACCCCCACTGCCCCCCAATTAGACACGTCCATGGCACCCCACTTAGGTACATCGATGGCCCCCTACTTAGACATGGTGGAGAAGAACCATTCAACCCCATCCGAGGAGCCACTTGCTTCAAGCTTAAGCACAGGTGAGGGATAAATGGGGGAGTCAGGAGGGAAGAGACTTGGGGGAGAGGGCCTGGCAGATGTGGGGCTTACCATGGGGACTGCAGTGAGCCCCACGAGATCTCTTCCACCAACTCTGCCCACCCCCAGCTCGAAGCCCAACCACCTCGGAGCTCCAGCTGACTTCGAGGGATCCCACCAAGGATGGTGAGGGTAAGTGGGGTTCATGGGTGCTGGGAGAGGAAGAGGAAAGTGACCCAGACCCTGACCTGGCTCCCGAATGGCCACAACACACCCCTCTCCTGATTCGGCAGCAGATGGGCTGAAACTTGAGACTTTGAAGCCTTGACTAGACTTGTCCAAGGGCCAAAGGCTCTGGGGCCTCAAACCTTGCGGGAGGGAGGACTCTAATCATTTCTCATGCCCCATTCTCCTGTTTCCTTGGGGGAAAGACACAGGCCAAACCCAGCCAGAGGATAAGGTGGAAACGACTTCAGCAATGGGTAAGTGGGAGACTGGGGAGCAGGGATGAAGGGCCCTATGATTCTCATGCTATGTAATTCAATCACCTTCTCCTCATCTCCTCTCTCCCTCACGCATGGTGAGCCCTTCTACCACCCCCTCTCTCCTCCAGATCTTCCCTGCCTTTCAAGGCCCAGCTCAAGACCCCCTAATTCAGGAAGCCTTTCTCCCCCCCCTCCACCCTCTCTTCCCCATGTGAGAGCAACATTTTCCCTCATCAGATTTAAATTTTATTTTTATTCTAAGAGTCAGTGTGTCTGGTAGATGGGGCACAGCTGGATTTGCAGTCAGGAAGACCCCAGGTTCAAATCTTGTCTCTGACCTTTGGGGTCACAGGTTTAGAGCTGGAAGATACTTCCAAGGCCATCATGTGGTCCTCATTTACAGTTTAGAGAATTGAGCCCCAGGGAAAAGAAAGTTGTCTAAGGTGAACTTTGTTCTTTCCCTTCAAAATCTGACTTACTAACTGTGCACCCCTGAACCCTTGACTCCCCGTGCCTGGGCCTCACCTACTAAATCGGTGGGAGGCCCCCCTTCTGAAAACTGCAGACCTTTCCATTTTTGCATATTGTCTCTTCTCAGCTTAATGACCATTAAGTGGACACAAACATTCTAATGCACAAACAGACTCTGGCATCCCACTGTAAAACTCTGTTACTTATAGAGATAACATCTAACCATGTGGTCAATCTTTTAAAAAAGTGCAATATTATCATTTAGCAAGATAACCAAAATGTTCGTTTTACTTGTACCCTCTACGGATTTCTCTCATGTCCCTGTGGGGATTTTGTTCCTCAGATTTTTTATCATCATCATCATTATTTTGCTTTTCATGTTACTGAGCTGGTCCTTCTCTCTGCATACCTTCATCTGTTTGCCTGCATTTCCTCCTATTCTTCACCTTTGACACCTCTCATGGTTCCTTGACATTCCATCAGCTCCAAAGGCCTTGTACCATGGACCTTGAAAGCACCTCCCCACCAACATGGAGTTTCATTGCTTTTAACTATCTTGGTTAATATAATGATAATTATAATAATGATAATGATGATGATAATAATAATAATAATAATAAACTGGCTTTACTTTAGCACTAAGATTTGCAGAGTGCTTTATATATGGCATATCATTTAATAACCTAATTTAAATTCTCGAGGCTGCGTGTTGAAGGGATAGACAGCTGGTCTCAAAGACCTGAGTTCGAGTTTTTTCTCTAGTGCATACATACTAGGGGTGTGATCCTGAGCACCTGGTCTACAAGGCTATTAGGTGTTGAGAAAGTGTTGATCTGCACTGATAAAGGGAGGTTCTTTATCAGGGAGTTCCCTAAGCCAAGGAGATCACTGGGTTTCTTCCCTATCACTGTCCTGACTTTAATTTACTAATGATTGAATGGGCAGTATTGTAGAGGTAGGGTCAGACCCTCCATTGGTACTTCATTGGATATGATGGGGAAATGAGAGGAGAGAGTCAAAAGTGAATTCAGGGTTTTGAACCTGGATCTAGAAGGGTGGTGGTGTCCTGGATGAAAAAACTAAGGAGAATAGAGGGTTTGGGGGCAGGGGGAGGTAGAGAGAGAATAAATTCTGTAATGGACATTAGATCATAAATTTAGTTCTGGAAGAAACCTTAGAGTCACCTACTCTAACCTCCCCACTTTACAGATGAACTGAGTCCCAGTGAGATGGAATAATTTGTCCAGGACCACCCAGCTAGTAGATGGTAAGGGCAGGATTTGAATCCAGCTCCATTGTTGTTAGCCCCAGCATGCCTTCTATCCCACCATGCTGCCACCCATATTCAGTTTGAGGTGTCTATGGGTCACCTAATTGGAGATAGAATTGGTGACATGGGGACGGATCAGAGGAGAGAGATCAGGGTGGGCTGCATGGATCTGAGATCACAGATATATGACAATATATTAAATAATAATTATATATAAATTAATATAACATTATATACTATTAGTATAATAAAATCATAGATTTTAGAACTGGAAAGAACCTTAGAAGTCTCCTAGGCCAATCCTTCATTTTATAGGTGAGTGACCAAAGACCAGAGAAGTGAAATGGTTTTCCCAAGATGATGTAGGAAGCAAAAAGCAGAGTCAGGATTTGAACTTGGGGCTTTTGACTCCAAATCTCTTTCCCTTGTACCATGCTGCCACCGAATTGTAAATACCCCATAGTCTAGAGATTAGATAGAAAGATCTATATTATATAGAGAGACAAAGAGACAGAGACAGAGGGGGGAGAAAGAGAGAGAGAGAGAGAGAGAGAGAGAGAGAGAGAGAGAGAGAGTTAGAGTTGAACCATGGCAGTTGATGAGACCACAGAACAGAGGGGTTGGAATATGGGTGACGATCTAGGGAAGGAGAGTATAGAATAGCCAGAGAGGTCAGAGGACACTAAGGAGTGAGCAGTGTCATGAAGATCCAGGGAGGAAAAAGGTTCTAGGGGGAGGGGAATTTAATGGTGTCAACTGGAGCAAAGAGATGCTTGTTGAATGAATGACTGAATAACTAAATGGGTATGGGGGCAACTAGGTGACATCATAATGGTTAGAATGCTGAGTGGTTTAGAGTCAAGAAGACCCATCTTCCTGAGTTCAAATCTGGCCTCACATTTACTAGCTGTGTGTTTCCTTCTTTTTGACGCTAATACTTTATTTGGCATAATCTTTTATCTCTTATAATTTTTTCCTCTTGTTTAAGAGATAAAAATTTTCCTCTACCATACCATTACGATAATGGGCTCAAATTTCTCCTAGACCTTTTCCTGGCCCTCTCCTTTTCACATACTCCTTTGCTCTCCCTCTTCCTAGTGGGAAAGATCTTAGCTTAAAAAGGCCAAGGCCTCCAGCCGCATCTGAGGCCATTTCCAGTTATCTTGATCTATATCTGGCCACTGGACTCGGATGGCTCCAGAGGACAGAGTGAGGCTGGTGACTCTGCACAGTCTTACCTCACTTAAATCCAATTCCCCTGCATGTTATAACATCACCTTTCTTATGTCATGGTCCTCTTTGAGGATGAAGGACAAGCGACAATCCTAGTAACATATTTGTTCGCAACCTTTGACCATTATTAGAACATAATTAGAACCTGAGGGCAAGGTTATGTCCTGCCCTAGCACAGCATTGTATACCAAGTCTCTGTCCCATGTTCTACAGGTAACTTAGAGCCTAGAACTGTGGCCAGCAGAACAAGACCCCAGACTCCATCCATCTCTTCTGGTCAGTGATTCCTGTACCCCAGCCCTCATCGAGAGGGAGGGATCTAGGGCACCATTCCAATGGGGGTGGGCAGGAGGGTTTTGGCAGGGAGACGCACAGTGTGGGAATCATTCTGAGAGTGAGGTGATAGGATCTGGCTCTTCCCCCCTTTTCTCCTTCCTCCCACACCCACTCACAGCTGTTCCTCCCTAATCCCTTAGGAATCAGCCTAGAACAGCAGAGAACTTTGGTTTTAGGAATCTAGAGACCTGTGTTCTCACATCACAGGATCTCGAGCTGGAAGGATCTCAACCTGAGAATATCTAGCACAATCCCTGAATCTTCCCCTCGTTGGACTATCTTGTTTCCTCACCCTTAGAACACACACTAGACACATTCCCTTCTGTTCCTTTGCTCTCATCATTCAATTAAACATTTTGGGCACCACTTCACTCCCTACCCAGCATGTTCCCCTCCACCTCTCTGCTTATCCCAATAGAATATAAACTCCTTGAAGGCCAGGAACCAGGAGGTAGCTAAGTGGCTGGGGTCACCCAGGCGGTGGTGAACCAATTTCTTCCCCAGACGGAACAATAACACGGCATGGTGAAGTGGATAAAGGGCTGAATTTGGAGTTAGAAAAGCCTGAGTTCTAGTTGTATGACCCTGGGCAAGTCACTTAAACTCTTGTTTGCCTCAGTTTCCTCATCTGAATGGGGAGAATAATTGCCACTAGCTCTCAGGGTGGATATGAAGACAAATGGGATAGAATTTAAGTGCTTTGCAAATTTTAAAGTGCTGCATGCCAGCTATGGGCTGCTAGGTGGTGCAGCAGATAGAGTATAGGGTCTGAAGTCAGGAACACTCATCTTCAGGAGTTCAAATCCGGCTTCAGCCACTTATAAGGTGTGTGGCCTGGGCAAGTCACTTCACCCTGTTTGCCTCAGTTCCTCATCTGTTAAATGAGCTGGAGAAGGAAATGGCGAACTGCTCCAGTATCTCTGCCAAGAAAACCCCCAATGGGGTCAGGACCCAACAGTAACAAAGGCTAGCTACTATTACTGTTAGGGTGTGGTTCTTTCCTCTGTACCATCTGTACAATGCTTTGCACAGACGAGGCCTTTATGAGTGTTTTATGCTGTTCTGGTGCAGCCATTTTTCAGTCCTGTACGACTCTCCGTGACCCCATTTGGGGTTTTCTTGGCAGAGATACTGGAGCAGTTTGCCATTTCCTTCTCCAGCTCATTTTACAGATGAGGGACTGGATTGAATTGAAACCAAGACCAGGGAGAGAGGGTCATAGAGTAGAAAGAGAGCTGGATTTGAGGTCAAAAGTCCTGGGTTCAAATCCTTGTCTCTTCCACTCCCACCTGTTGGACCTTGGCAAATCCAAATCCTGCGCCTCAGTTTCCTCACATTTGCCAAATCAGGGAGTTGGTCTAGAACTCTAGAAGGTCAAGATGACATGGGGAGGCAGGAGGTCAGTGGGTGGAGTGCTAATTGTGGTTGTTGTAGCTAAGTATCTGGGATGCAAACAAAAAGAAAGTCCAGGCCGCCCTCAAGGAGCTTACTTTCTAAAGGAGAAAGACAGTGATGAAAAGGGAGGAGCTGCAAAAAGGCCCCTGGCCCTGACTTTCTTTCTGTCTTCCCCAGGTGAGGAGGAGTGGGATCCCTTCAAAAGCAGTGAGTCATTCTTCCAGACTTGGGACCCAGGGATGGAGAGGGGGCAGGAAAACCACAGGGGCTCCTTCCCCTCCTGAATCCTCCACACCTGACCCCCTCCCCCTCCTCTCTCTCTCTCTCTCTCTCTCTCTCTCTCTCTCTCTCCTCTCTCTCTCTCTCTCTCTCTCTCTCTCGCAGATGAATATACGCTCCGAAAGAGGGGCTTAATTGCAGCGGCTATACTCTTTATCACAGGCATCCTCATCCTCACCAGTAAGAAGGAGGGAAAGCTGGGAGGCGTGTGGCTTCCGGGTCTAGGCTGGGGAGGGACAAGAGGTTAGACTGGGTGTCAGAGGCCCTGCATTTGCGTACCAGCTCTGTCCCTGTCTGTTGTGTGATCTGGGGGTCAATCCCTACCCCATCTCTGCGGTGAGGTTTACCCATCTGCGACCCAAGGACCCGTCCCATGAGCGGGATTTACTCTCTTGTTCTCCCCCAATTCCTCTCAGGCGATCGGTGCCGCCAGTTCCGCTGGTGCAGAAGGCAGCAGCGAAGGTGAGACCACGGAAAGTGGGGGGAATGGGATGGCTGGGAAGATCACAGGGGTGCCACAGGGGGGAGGGGGGAGGTCCTTCCTCTCACTGCCTCCTCTCTGTGCACTCCTGTCCCTTCAAAGTGCCTACAGGGTGACCCAAGCCTGAGGCCCCAGACTCTAATGAAGAGGTATCAATGGAGCCGTAGCGGTGGAAGGACCCCCCAGACTCCAACCAAGCCTGAGACTCAGGGAGCTCTGGGAAGAAAGCACCACTGACCACTTTGTGTGGCCTCTCACCATCATGGCCTCTTTCTCAAGAAGGCACATGCTCCCCCAGTTTCTAGGTCTCCCTGGTCTCTGACATCCCCCCGGCCCAGACCCCACATTTCTCAGCACTTAGCTTGGTACCAAATGCTCAATAAACGTTTGCGGGACAAACGGATGAATGAATGTTGGTTCTGACCCGGCATCTCCTCTGCTGCGCAGATCTCCCGGGATGGGATTCAGGGGGATGCAGCCAAGGGAAGGGACCAGAGCCTCGTCAGTGGACGGCATCCACACTTTGCACCCAGAGTCTTGCTTTAGCTGAAGACAGAGTTCTTATCTCTCTAATCCTAGGGAATTCTAGGAGAACACTGTAGCGTTAAAGAGATCTGGTCCCCAAGAGTTACCAGGAAAGCCACAGAGAGCTGCGGGCCACCTCCGCTGCCCCTCCCCCCCAAGGCCTACAGGGCCCCATTAGACAGAAGGGGACGGAGCATCCAAAGCTGGTGGGTTCCTCAGGGGGGTCAGGTATAGGAACAAGGAAGGGGGCCGAGGACTTTGGCAGCGGCTCCTGGAGGCCTCCTGTCTTCTGACTACAGCCTGCAGGCCCTTTTCCTGCCCAGGGGTGTGGGGCCCGGCTGGGCTGTGAGGTCACCCAGCGGGATTGCTAACAGCAAAGGAGGAATGGGGGGGTGCCAGGGACCATCCCAGGGCTCTCACTATCAGAGCTCTAATTTGAAGAAAAATAGATGAATAGAAAATCATCTTCCTTCCCTCCGCCTCCCCAGCACTCATGGCTGGCACCTGCGCTCCAGGGGAGAGCCAGCCTGGCTCCCCGATGCTGCCCTGTCATGCCGGAGGCCCCAAGCCTGGCTCTTTGGCATATGATTCAGGGGAGGAGGAAGAGGAAGGGGAGGAGTGGAAAGGAAGCTTCTGGGGGCACGCAGACAGAGCTCCCTAGGTTTGAGCAGTTTACATTCTGTGGCATTTGGGGGAGGAGAGATCTAAGTATAAGTATATAGATATAGATAAAGAAATATAAGATAAGAGAGTGATGAGAGAGGGAGAGAGGGGGAGGGAGAGAGAGAGAGGGAGGGAGGGAGACAGAGAGAGAGACAGAGAAGAGGAGCAAGAGAGAGAGAGTATAAGTATATAGATAAATAAAAGAAATATAAGAGAGCGAGTGATGAGAGAGAGAGGAAGAGAGAGAGGAAGAGAGACAACTAACAATGGGGGGAGGATCAGGAAAGGAGGAGGACCTGGGTTCAAATGTTTCTTAGCTGTGTGACCTTGGGGAAATCACTTGACCTTTCTAGGCCTCTGTTTCCTCATCTGTAAAAGGAGGAAGTTGGATTCAAGGTTATCTAAGTTCCTTTCCAGGTCTTCGATCCTATGAGTCTTGCCTTCAGGTGAGGTATAGTCTAACTAGGAACACACACACACACTCACACACATACCTACATATATACACACACACACTCACACACACACCTACACACACACACCTACATATACACACACACCTACACACACACACCTACATACACACTCACACATATACACACACATACACATATACACATACACATGCAGACATATACATATACACACTCACACAACCTACATACACACTCATACATATACACACATACACATGCACATGTATACATATACACACTAACACAACCTACATACACACACATACACATACACATATACACATATACATATGTGTGCTCACACACACACCCCTACATACACACACACATACACACTCACACACAGGTGCACACATACAGACACATGCACACACACACGCTCACAGTCCCTACCTCTCTCCCGAGACTCCTCTCTAACGTCACCAACAGCCTCTTAATCCACTGGCCTTTTCTTAGCCCTTATCTTTACCGACCTTTTTTCAAGCAAAAACCGCTCTATTTGTGCTCTTCTCAGGATCGCGGTGTGCATTAAATGAAACCGTAATTAAAGGGCTTTGCTCACTCCAAATGCCACCTGTTTTTTTATATTATATTATTATATTATGTTATTATATTAATAATTGTTATTATTTTCTTGTTATGACTCTCCCCTGACCCCCTCCTCGAGCCTTCCCTTATAACCAATAAGGACAGTGCTCTGGCTTCCCCCCCCCTCTTTTTTTAAAATTTTATTAATTTATTTTGATTTATCAACAATCACTTCCATATGCTTTTGAGTTTAAAATTTTTCTCCCCCTTCCTCCCGACCTCCCTCCCCAAGACGGCGCACAATCTGATATAGGCTCTTCACATACATTCCCATTAAACATATTTTCACATTGGCAATGTTGTAAGGAAGAATTAGAACCTACAGGAGGAAGCACCAGAAAGCGGAAACAAAGCTCAACAGAAGAGGGAAAAATAGTACCTCGTATGCTTCGATCCGCACTCAAACTCCATAGTTCTTTCTCTGGATCTGGATGCTCTGGCTTTTCTACACCCATTGCCCACCACCTCTCTGCCTAGAGGGGGAGGGTGGAGCTGGTCTGCCTTTGATACCATGGCCCAGTCAACCCTTCTATTTATTTACATTGTTGTCGCCATCACAACCCAGGCCACTAGGTGGCGCATGCAGCGGTAGAGTTCTGGGCCTGGAGTCAGGAAGACCTGAGTTCAAATGGGACTTCAGCAAGTCACTCTGCCTGTGTCAGCCTCAGTTTCCCGATCTGTAAAATGGGGATAAAACACAGGGTTGTTGTGAGAATCAAACAAGATAATACTTGTGAAGCTCTTAGCACAATGACCACACACAGTAGGTATTTAATAGATACTCGTCTGTTTCCCTGTCCCATCATGTGCATTTTTCTCTTGGCTCTATTTAACTTTGATCTGCATTAGATCATACGAGTCTTTCCAAATTTTTCTGAATCCGGCATTTCTTATAGAACAAGGATGTTCAAGACATTGACCTTTCTATATCATGATTTTTCCAGCCATTCCTGAATTTATGAAACCCCAGCTTTGTTTCTAATTCTTTGGCTTTTTGGGGGCGGGGTTTGTGGTTTTTTTTGTTAGGCAGTTGGGGTTAAGTGACTTGCCCAGGGTCACACAGCTAGTAAGTGTCAAGTGTTTGGTCTGCATCCGGATTTGAACCCAGGTCCTCCTGACTTCAGGGCTGGTGCTCTATCCACTGTACTCTACTTAGCTGCCCCTCTGATTCTTTGTAATCACAAAAGAGTGCTGCTATAAATATATTGTTCATACGGGACTTGCACCTCTCTCTGTCTCTCTCTGTCTCTCTCTGTCTCTCTCTGTCTCTCTCTGTCTCTCTCTGTCTCTCTCTCTCCCTCTCTCTCTCTTTCTCTTTCTTTCTCTCTCCTCTTCTCTCTCCTTCCCCTTTCTCTTCTTCTTTCTCTCTTCTCCCTCTATCCATCTTATATATCTGTCTTTCCATACATCTATACATGCTGTCTGTCCGATTACATATCTTCTGTCTATTTTAAAACCTTTTTGGAGGTTGTTGGAGATTGGAGATTGTTTGGAGATTGCCTATTTATTTTAAAATCTTTTTTGGATCTGTACAGTTTAATAACTTTTTATAATTCCAAATTGTTTTCCATAATGGCGGGACCAATTCACCTGCCTATCCATCTCTCCACCATGCATTGATTAAGGACTTATTTGGTGCCATGCACAAAGACAATTCCTGCCCTCAAGGAGCTTACAGCTGAGCTAGGGGAGCGACCAGAGCACTGAACTTAAAGTCAGTTAAGACTTGAGTTCTAATCTTCCTAGCCTCAGACACACTAGCTGTGTGGTCCTGGGCAAGTCACTAAACTCAGTTTCCCCATCTGTAAAATGGAAATAGAAATAATACGGATGTTGTTGGGGTCAAGGGAGAGAATATACATTTGCAAACCATAAAGCACAATATAAATGTTAACTATTATACATAGGGGGCAGCTAGGCTAGGTGGTATAGTGGACAGAGTGCTGGGCTTGGAGGCAGGAAGACTCATCTTTCTGAGTTCAAATCCAGCCTCAGACACTTCCTAGTTATGTGACCCCAGGCAAGTCACTTCACCCTGTTTGCCTCAGTTTCCTCATCTGTAAAATGAGCTGGAGAAGGAAATGGCAAAACCGCTCCAGTGTCTCTGCCAAGAAAACCCCAGATGGGGGCACGGAGAGTTGGATACCAGCGAACAACAGGGTCTGCAAAAGTGGAATGGCCACTTGAGCAGAGACGAGGGCCCCAGGGCACTGAGGACAGCAGCCTTCTGGAGAACATACTTCATTCCCTCAGGATGCACATGTCTTATAGTTCTCTGCTAGGCCCCAGCCCCCACCCCCTGTTGTCGAGACCCCGCCTTCCCCAGGCCGGTCGACCTCCGCTGCTACCCTCCCTTGTCTGCTGGGATCCTCAGCCTTTGCCTCTCAAGCCACAGCCTCTCCCAGAGACCCTGCCCTGCATTCCCACCCCGAGCAGACTGCTGTTTTCTTGCCCCTCCATCCCTGGCACCCTACTCCACTGAACCGTCCTCAGGGACCAGAATCCCAGGTCTTCTTGTATTCTAAGGATGAATGTCCCCCGGGGTGTCCACCCTGGGCCTTCCTCATCTTCTCTGTCTTCGTGACCGCCTCTATCCCTTGAGCTACAGGGATCAATTCTACACAGATGGCACCACGTCTACATCTCTATCCTAGTGCCTCATGGGCTTCCAGCCTCCCACTGCCACCTGCCTCCTGCACTGTCTCTGCCTGGCTGTCCCACAAGCATCTCAAACTCAACACGTCCAAAATGGAACTCGCCACAGCTCCTGAACCTCCCCCCAAGAACTCCCGTCCCTCCCCTTAGCTTACTTACTTCTGCTGATGGTAACAGCATCCCTCCTCCTCCCCTGCCCCATCTCCCCCTACTGAAATCTTTCTTTTCCTTCACGGCTTGGTTCCCATACCACCTCCTTCAGGCAGCTTTCCCTGAGTCTTCCAACTGAAATATCCTCAAATTGTTCCAGCCCAATGCAATGAAAAACATTGTACACAATGGAGATACAAACACAAAAGTTAAATGATCCTTGCTGTTGGAGGATCGTACAAGGAGATTGAAGGAAGGGGGACAACCTGTCCGTAGATAAATACATACAAGATAATTTCAGGAGGAAGGGAGAGAACTAACACCAAGGTGGAGGGAGGCGGGTGGC